TGTGTGTGTGTGTGTGTGTGTGTGTGTGTGTGTGTGTTTGTGTGGTCGCTAGAAAGCTTGATCGTTTTTCGATGTGCGACTTTTCAGTGCAGATCAAGAACTTTGAATATTGATATACGAAGTATGCGCATATTCTGTAAATGAAAAGATGTTATGCAGAATAAGCGTTTTGCTCATCAACTAATCTAGCAGTTAACTGTGGTCGAGAGTGTTTTTCTAACGGCGATGTCTTTAATGGTAAATTCTCTGTGGAGTAACGTACGTATATCGCAGTTGTTGCCATAGAAGCCAGTGTTTGTACAGTCACACACGTAAGCCTGGTTGCTCAACATCACGCAGATACTCCTGTGCTGACAGGGAAACGAGCAGCACGGATTGAAATCCTCTGTGGAATAATAATAATAATAATAATATTCAATAACAATAACCATCAACATCATCATAATTATCATCATAATCATCACCATCATCATCTTCATCATCATCATCATCATCATCATCATCATCATCATAATCATCATCATCATCGTTATCATAAGAGTGATCAGCGCAAGTTTCGATTTATCATTCGAATACTGAGCAACAAAAAGTTTCTTCTCGCGAGATCGAGTTGCTATAATCTTCATAGAGGCTGTATGTGTATACACCTCAGCCGGCCGCGTGGTTATATATCGACGTTGCCGCATAAACATGTAACCGTACGCTTAATATGTTTACGTAATTGTTTATGATTTGTTACATCGGATTTACGAGGTATGAAACTCGTTTCTACACCCGTGGGAAATCACCAATAAACGCCACATCTCGACCACATACGTTATGTATTCTTAGACATTCTGTCTCATTATTAAAACCTCATGTTGATAGAAAATAAATATGCGCTTACCACCTGTGGCTGCCGAGGATAGGAGACAGGCCATGGAGATAACCACGACCAAATACCGCTCAATGGACTGCACTGCAAAAAACGATACGTGAAACACGGTTTCATATTCGCAGTGTGTACAAACGTCTTCATAGTCGGTTCTAGACGACGCATCTTCCTGCAAGAATAGAGATTCCCGCAAGTGTTCGTTTGAAGGTATATGACGACTTAGAGAGTATCTTTTATAAAGTCGTGTCACAAATTACGAACGCCAGACGAAAAAAAACAGGCACAGAACGTTATGAAGATGTTTAATGTAATGATAAAATAATATGGATTACAATCGCCAGTAAGAGTGTATGTGTCAGTAGGAGATCGTGCTGTGATGATAGTTGGGGGGGGGGGTTGGCCCGCCCTCACATCGGCTGGTCATGGCACACATGCCGTATACGTGCATGCAGCCGCAAACTACGCATCTGTCATCATCCCTTTCTAGCTATTTCTCGCTCCCTCTCTTCCCCGCTCACCCACACACATGCACGCACGCACACGCAAACACACACGGCCACACACACACAACACGCACACACAACGCTAACACACACACACACACATACATACACACACACACACACACACACACACACACACACACAACAGCACACGCACAACACACACACACACACACACACACACACATAACATACACACATGCCAACACACGCGAACATCACACGGGCGCGCAGGCGCCATACACACTCTCACATCAGCTCTCGTCAGCCTCTACCTCTCTCTTTCACTTTCTGTCTGTGCGTGAGCTCTCTTCCTTTCGCTCACTTTCGCGCGCGTTCTCTCCCTCACCCACCCCCTCGTCGCTTGTAATTAACACCCGATGCTTTTAGATTGATCGATGATGATAGCCTTCGAATTGTATATATATCTGTCAAGTGAAACTGAGAGCAGTACGATTGTCACTAAAAATAAACATGCCCCCAGTATATCGGCGCCCAGAAATGCAATGGGAAACCACGCCCGCGTCACCACCGCAGCTCCGACTGCACGTACATGTGCCGGTGTTTACTCGATTTTTTTCCCATTCACACGCTCTTTTCCTCCCCTTGTGTAATCGCACGCTCATATTTTTAGATGTGTGTATTTACAAGCCGTCTTCCGAGATGGCGTAAGTGCGATATTACGCACTAGAACATTGAATTGGAAGTAACAACAGAAGGCACGCATCACGCAACAGCACACACAGCGCGCAATACACACACACACGCACGCACAACACAACAACGCACACACACGCGTGCCATACACACACACGCGCGCGCACACACACATCACACACTACAACGCGCGCACACACACACGCACCGCACACACAACACAGCACACAGCACACACACACACACCCGGCACGCGTGCACAACGACATTAACACACGGCACACACACAACCACACACACGCACACATAACACACACACAGCACACACAGACAGACCCGCACGCGTGCAGCACACATTAACACACGCAGCACACCGCAACACACAACCCACACACACACACACACACACACACACAACAACACACAACAAACACACACACACACACTCAACCTGCACAGCCCATACATGCACACGCAGCACACACACGCACAACACACACAAGCCACAACACACACACAACGCACCACACACATTACACACAACACACACGCCCGCACGCACAGCACGCATACACAAACACACACACACACACAACTCCGTGCACGCACACATACATGAACACGCACGACACACACAGCACACACCACACAGCACATACATGCACACCACGAACACATACACACAGCACGACACACACACAGCACACACCTCACGCCCACACATACCATGAACACGGCCAAACACACACACAACAACACACACTCACACACAACATACATGCACACGCAACACACATACACACACACAACACACAGCCTTACACACACACAGGCCACACACACGCACACCATAACACCACAGCACGACACCACCCCACGCACACGCACGCACATACACACCACACACACAGCAGCACACACACACACACACCACACACACACCGGCGCAATATTCAGCGTCACAACACGATCAATAACAAGAAAATGGCAAGAATTCGTGCAATTATCGAATCAGTTAAAATCAGGAGTGTAAATACACGCCATATTATAACAGCTCGCTATTATACACTCGCCTAGTTATACACTGCCCTATATACACTCCCTGGTTAAAACTAATCTTTTGATATCCTGAACTATTTGTATAAGTGTGCGCCTATATACGTGCTTACGTGCGCGGCAGGTAGCGATATGTATCAAGCGCTGTGTGTGTAGATGGTTTGTGCGTGTGTGTGTGTTGTGTGTGTGTGTTGGTGATGTGTGTGTTGTTATGTGCGTGTGTGTGTGTGTGTGATGTGTGTATGTGTGTGTGTGGCGTATGCGTGTGTGTGTGATGTGTGGTGTGTGTGTGTGTGTGTGTGTGTGTGTGTGTGTGTTATGGTGTGTGTGTGTGTGCCGTGTGTGTGTGTGTGTGTGTGCGCGCCGGGCGCGAGTGTGGTGTGGCTGTGTGGGGTGTGTGTGTATGTGTGTGTGTGTGGTGTGTGTGTGTGTAGTGGTGTGTGCGCAGTGTGTGCGTGTGGTGGTGGCGTCGTGTGTGTGTGTGGTGTGTGTGTGTGGGCGCGTGTGTGCGTGTGTGTGCGTGTATCTCTCTCACAACAACACCGAGG